CTTGACGTCATTTACGAATAATTAGAGTATAATTTCAGCAGCGTGAGCCAAACGACGATAATCTCACTTTAATTGATGGCACAAGATTCTAATTATTTTTTCTCATTTATCTTAATATTGATTTAGATTAGCATGAATTTGTACTTAATTTTTCAAAGCTGTTGGTCGACAAGATGGGACTCATCGACTTTTACGTGACGGATAGGAATTAGACGGCAACAATTAATAACTTATTCGCAATAAATATTTATGCACTTCTTTCATACACGTGGTCTCTTGATCATCCAGTGGAACGCGTATTGCCGGAAACGAGCTTTCGAGTTTAGCGTAGATTATTAGATGTTGCACTCTATAGTCTATAATTCTACTGCACCTCCATGCAATCTTCGCAATATCATATCGACATTAGTATCTCTGAGATTGTTGAGATATGCTTTATAAGGTGTCAGCCGCGCTAGTTTTCATTTACGGTAATATCCTTGTTATCATGCTAATAATAAAACAGAAAATTATATTTTAAATACATAAACTACGAATTTTAAGGTGATTATGCAGAAACGAATGAAAGTAAAAAAAAATCTCATTCGAAAAAAATATATATACAATATATGTATATTTTATATATTCGTGAAAGTATCATTGCGGATTTCAACGATGCCATTTTTAACAAATAAAGGATAGGATATTTTTTCTAATAAAAATAAAAAATGGTGAAATGGGGGGAGTCTTTTTGCAAATGAATCTTCATGTTTTCACATATTTTAATTTATTTACAGAAATTGCATTAATTATTGTACAGTGCATATCGTAAAACATCGTGCGTCTGTATTTCGATATTTCCGCAAAAATTGTCCACGTACAAATAAATGTGTAGAGAGAAATTCTTTGTCGGATGATATTTTCAGGACATATTGCGCGGAAGATACTGCAGCGGGAGATTCCACAACGAACGATCTCGCGAGATACATGTAATATTCGCGTACAGGATAATAAAATTTCGAACATTGCCGCGCGTAACGGCGTAGCGGAATCGAGCGGATTTTTGTCACCACGGCCGTTCATCGATAATGATGACTCCCGATGCGGCGCGTTCGCGGCGACCGATATTCACAAGCACACTGTATAAACACACTGACTAACGACCGAGCTAATTAAGCTTAATTACGGTTGTCCTGCCTATTAATTAATCCGTTGCCTCCCTCTTTGCTCCGCGCACCTGTCGTGAGTGCGGCCGATCCGCCTCGGATGTCGGCCTTTTAAGGTGCATTTATATGTGGGCGCGAGAGAGAGAGAGAGAGAGAGAGAGAGAGAGAGAGAGAGAGAGAGAGAGAGAATGGATTTCGAATAGATTCGTTGTAGCGTAAACGGTGATTGAGAGCGAACGCGAACTCGATTGTTCGTGCTCGTTCCTATTGTTCCCCAGCGATATTTTATATGACACTAACGACATTCGGCGGTGTCTTAATTATTAAAAAATATCGCGAGGCAATAGCGAAAAATTATGAATCGTTGTGATGTCGCAACTTTCAAGTTGTAAAAATCCGTTGAATAACATTTTACATCTCGCTATTCAACAATGTTCATTTAACGAGAACGAAAATGTAATTAATTATTACGTTCTAGTATAATGTAAAGATATCAATAGCGGTTTGACAACATTTTGATTTTATTGAATAGTAAAATAACAAGGGAATCCATTTTACCAATAACATAATATTCAAGTCAAACTGTATCACTGGCCGACAGATTTGTTTGCAGTACAAGTTTATCTTTACACATCGCGTGTGGAAATATACGCGCTGTTAAATCGGTATTCCTCTTCGTCGTCATCGTAAGTACATTGTAACGAGATTCATGAATATTTAGTTAACTCGTGATTATAGAAGGGCGTCGGCACGCGGCATAATCATAGGAAAACACGCGACGTAAAAACTCTGACGAACCGATTTCGTAATTAAATAGTACCAAGAATACAATTCTAAAATTACTTGTATATCGTGTGATTGTGATATTGTGTTGCATAAAAATAGATAAATGTTAACTAAGGAGATCGGAAGGAGATGTCACGTTATATAAAAAGACTTTATTTTTAAAGGGATTTTAAAAAAGAAGCAGATATAGTGTTCTAATTTCTGTTCTATTCTGATCCGAATTTGCAAGAATATAAAATAATAATAATGCTATATTTTTACACTATCGGAGGTATGATTTATATTACAGAACAGATCAAAATGAAAAAAAGAATGTACACGGAGAGAATTTTCTTTTAAAATTTACGTTTAAAATATGACAGTTGCGACACAATATAATATTTTCAAGATTTTTACCATGCTCTTCAGTAAATTTAATTAGGCTTATTTTATATTTTATTGTAGTTTTATTAAATGAATGAGAAAGATTTACGTGAAAAATTCTCCGAAATACAATGCTGTCCCACGACTATTATATTTTCATGGTAAACTTTAAAAAAAAAAAAACTTCTTTCCGTGTAATAATTCTTTATTGTAACGCACTTTCGTAACACTAAATACAATTTCTAATTCGTATAATACAATACGTCGTTAATTTATGAAATATATTATAAAAAAATTGAAATTTAATTTCAACAATTTTTTAGATACGTTGGAATTATCGTTTTTCGTGATACTGGCTTTTAATTATCGCTTCATTCGTTAGTGAATCAAACGATAATCGGACGAACGTAAAGAGCGCGTCTTTCTGGGAGAATCGTCGCGCGTCAAGCTCGGATAATAAATCCGCGGTGGCGGGGACCACGGGGACGAAGCGTCAAATAAACGTGCTCCGACGGAGCCGAATCGATCTTCTGCCTCGGCTGCCTCCCCTTCTCTTTCGACCCCTCGCGCTAATTCGTATTCTCCGCCGGTTGCAACGCGCGTCGGTTGCAGTTCTGGAGACACTCGAGCAGGAACCTGACCGGTTCTCTTCGATCCCCGAATCGACAGAAATTCTTTTTAGTAAGTATAATTCACATATGTAGTAAAGTCACATATGTAGTAACGTTAGAGGTTCTTCAGAGTTTTAATCGTTAATCATTTCTTCTAATCAATTCAAATTCTCAAAGATAAGCTTTTATAAATAAATACAGAATAATTTCTAAGTGATAAAATCGATGAAAGAACCTTGAATTAGAATCAAGCGTATTGAACTATTATAAAAAAAATCATTGCGTTTTGATGAAAGCTTTTTAGAAGTTAATCCGCGTAAGTGGCGTAAATGCGCGCGCCTTTACTCTTCGTTACGTCTTTTAAAGGTACTATCTGTTTGTGTCCCACGCGCATTCCTCTTCCTTCCTTCTTTAACTTCGCGATCTTTAACGCCGCGCGGTCGGGTGCACGCGTTGCGTTGAATCTGCAGATCGAGATCATCGACATTCTCGCCGCCGGGGAAAAGGCTGACGGCGGAAGAGGCTGCTCGTTTTATCGTTAGTGCCTCGTTCGTGGAACACGTTCCGCGGCCGGACAACCTCGGAATGTTTGCATTCCTTACTCCTCGTTCCTTATCTCCTCGATGACCATCCTCGGCGATCGCGGTAGCACATTTTCCATTTACACCTTTTTAATGTGCATTGCATCTTTTATACAGAAATTATCGGTGAATAACACCGCAGGGTAAAAAAATTAAAAGTTAACAATTAGATTATAGAACGTCTGTGATTATTTTTGTTTGGACAGCTTCTTTATTTATTACGAGTTTAGACTGCTCCGTAGATGATTAATGTTATCTTTTACCCTTCGTAGTCATTATATTACTGGGTCTTTTTTAACCGAAATTTCACTCAAATTTCTTGGCATAAATTTCAATTTTTGTTAAATAGAGATTTTAACATTTCAGTTAAATAACTATTTGGCAATATAAAATAGAGATGTTGAAAAGTAATTCTGAATTTTTCTAGATTTTCTTAAAAGTCTAGAAATACAGTAAAAAAATTTAGGCTGGGCAAAAAAGTGTGTCTACGAAGGGTTGATAGCAAAAGTTGTTTGCTTCGTCAATAAAACTTGTCAAACGGCACGAAAAGTTTACGAGTATATATATTTATATTTATCGAATAATTTACGTTTAAAAGTAGTTCATTAATTTCCTTAATCATGCGAAAAAACCTCAACGTGTCACTTCACCACGATACAACTACTAATAATGCGGTCAGTTGAAAGAGGAAAAAAATGACGGCGGTGCGTAGAGTTAATACCCCTTTTTACGGCATCGTTGGCTCGAGAGATTTAGCGGTTACACCCCGTAGTACATCGTAAAGTCCGAACATACGAGCAGGGGGAGCAGGAAAGAGATGGCATGAAGGGTATCGGCAGAGGC